ACGATGTCCGTCACATGACGAACGAAACTCAGCCAGTTCTCACCTCAAACCAAGGAGAATTTCTCGTCCCCTGTGTCAACTTTAACGGCAGAATACTTATACCCGATCCCAGAGCAGCAGGAATCTGCCGTCATCCTTCGACGTGATGGTCCTTTTCGTCTCTCCATTTCATACAATCTTACAGTATACGAAATGCATCACGATGACATTATTTGTGCATTAAGTTGAGATACTTTACAGCTATAAAAAAACAAACAAATTCTTAGTTTCGATTAGATGAGTATTCAAGAATTACTGATATCCTCAAAACATGCTTATATCTAAAATGAGTAGCGTCTCCTATTGCAATGGCAAATACATGTTTGCTTTATCCAAAATTAAAATCTAAATGTGATTCGTGAGACGACTGACTTGCTTGGCTTGAACATCAAGCCAAGAAAGGCTTCATGTTTCTCATTTCAATGTTTTGGTAAGGTTTTGCGTAAAATATTGCTTCTAACTCTGGAGATATTTACGATCCGGTTTTCATTCCTCTTTGGGGTTTGGAGTCGGGCCCATGTGAGATAATAAACGATTTTACGAAACAAGGCCTCATTTCATTGTACACATAACTCCATTATCCCTTCTCGGCTCACCTCAAGTGACGCGGGGTGACTCCGCTTTTAAATTGTTCTTGAGTGAGTTTCGAAACAACCAGAACAGGTAATTGCATTTTCCCATAATGGTATGAAGAGGCCTTACGTTTCCATTGCAACTTACATAGCCTTGCACTCTATGCAAGATGAGATTGTCGATGCAGCAAACTCGTGTTCGCTAGTACCATCGACAACACTACTTATATTCATGCCGAGTAGGATTCAAAACTGCCGGAAGAGCTGACTAGTCTCATGCATATGCTCTACTGGCAGTCTCGAAAAGCTGATATAAAAAGAAAAAAGGTTTCTGCTGTTTGACCTATTGCTTCCCCTCTAGCGCTAAGGGAATTGTATCAATCTTTGTGTGTGTGTGTGCGCGTGTGCACCTCGAACAAAGGGGTTATTATCACTCCAAAGCCGTCAAATGGAGCACTACTCACAC